ACTTAGTACACTTTCTTGTTATTTCACAACTATACTACAATTAGTTTAATAATGATATGCCCCTCACCCCCACTCTATCTTAATTTTCATAATGTAGTATTCATATAAATACAAATTTTATTGCAACCGAATTATGTACAATAATAGATCATATACAATATAGGTGAACACTTCAACTAGAAAATAAATACAATGTATCTAAATACATATTAGAGACATGTCATAAAATAAATCAGCAATGTTTTATTGCAATTTTTAACATTAACTTCAGATTTTCCTTGTTAAAAATTTGAATTTTAACACATTCAACATCATGGGTGAAAAAAATAGTGAATTTTATATATTGTTTTTTCAATACTTAGCATGAGCAAAACAAATATACAGATTTGAACAAAAAAAAAAAATGAAAAAAAAAAAGCAGACTCCAGAATGACGTCAAAAACTGAAAATTTTTCATCCTTTAATAGTCAGTTGTGCTTAGTTTAATAATAATTAAAATTTAATTTTTAACATGTACGCACTGGCCCTGAAAGTAGATAATTAATTACCTTTTAGATGGTGAATCCTTTTCATCTTTTGAATTTTCACACTCTGTCAGTATTGGAGGGGTTAAACTCCTTGAAGTACGTCTGATAATTTCAATAAAAGAATTGGTTTTAGTTCTTGAATTAATTTCTTTATTAGCAGCACTTGCTGCTTTTTTTGCCTGATCATCGTCAGATTGAATTGTCAATGTTGTTTCTTGAGCAGCACTCATTATTAATGAGAAATTTTATTAAACATTAATCTTTTTTGACTTTATAAAATGAATGAAAAAAATAACCACCAAATAAAAACAGGTTATATTTTGTGAAAAATTAAACATTTTCTTCTGCTAATGATATTGAAATGGGTTTTTTTTTCCATTTTTGTGTGTTGGCATTTTTTGTTTGAAGCTATGAACAAAACAAATGTCTGTTGAGATTTTTACATGGAACATCATTAGCTTTGAATTGTCAATTGGATTTTATATTTTTTATTATCAAGTGATTCTATTTATATTCAAAGCAGAAATGCAAATAACTTTAAACAGTTGTGAAATTCAGAATTTTTAAAAACCAATTCCCTTTCACCAGGATCTCTTAGTAAGTCCATACAAATGCTTGGTTGAAGAAACACTGATACTCATAGGCAGAATTCAGGAATAAGTTCTTTGTAAATTTGTAATTTTAGCAATGAATTCATGCAAGCCAGTTGAAGCCAACCATTGATGTTGAGTAACTTTGTAGAATACCTTTCAAGTTCTGAAAAGTTAGTTTTTGAGAAACGAATGAGTTTGTGGTTTTTGAATTTTTTACAGTTTATAATGTTAACTGATAAAAAATGAAAGCTCACTGTCACAAAATACAAAAATTTACTTTAAAGGAAAGACAAAGGGAGTGACTTATTAAATAACCTTCTTTGCTGGAATTTCTTTTTTCGAAAATTTAATTCAAATACACGTTCATTGTATCTGTTTCAGCCTTATCTATTTATACATGATCTTTAAATTGAGAAGAAAATTAATTAAATTTCCAAGTGTTTTTCCAAATTATGTTGTTTCTTTTTGTCCTTGAGTTAAATTTGTTTGCCCTTTACATTATATCAAACCATTTAGATTCCTACTACAGAACAACAATTAATAAATTTGCTTGGCAAATTTGTTAGTATCGTAGTTTGACCTTTACTGGATGACCCATGACCAAGTTAAAGTTATTAAGTAAACCATTACTACCAAAATTAATTTAACCTGTGTGCCCCACACTTCTGGCCTTTTACCATACTAAGTTAATCTTAGTAAATAATAATATCAATTTTTAACTGAATATAATAATTGAATAAAAATTAAAAATCTTTTATCTTTCATTGATTAGGATTTAAAATTAAATTATTTCAATTTCCTCAAGTGCAAATGTAAATAATTACTGATATTTATTTAGCATACCTTTGGGGCACCTGGTGAGGATTAACTTTACTATGTCAGGAATAGTTGTGTAACAATAGCTTGCTAAGAAGTGGTTAAATCTAAAATGTTTCCTATCCTGTGTATTTGTGAAATATTGTATAAAAATCAATTTTGTTTTTCACTTATTACCATCAATGGATAGTAAATGTTTAATGAATTTTACTCATCCATAAACCATAAGCAAAGTTATTTGAGTTTGCATTGTTACAAATCTACACAAATAAAATGGATAAATTAATTACGGAAACAAAGAAAAATCTTCTCAGACAAATTACAGGCTGCAAGGAAGAGATCATTTTGAAAACTCTCAGGCATAACTTTACAAACATCATGAACAGAGAAGTGAGATGAACAAAATCAGGTCAGCCATTTTGCAATATGAAGTTCATCTAATCATGATGAACAGATGTAAACTAAAATGGTTTTTATCAAGTCACATAATCAGTAGGGTTTAACAAGATAATCCTGGTTCAAGGGAGAAAGGGGGGGTGAATGAGGCAAAGAAATGAGTGGTCAATATCAAAGAATGGACATGAATGTGGCTAAACAAACCCTGAGAATCTCAGAACAGGCAGATGGAAGTGAGTTGAATAAAGAGCCAGACAAATATAATCATCAACAAATTCATCCACTGATGGGATTTGATGTTCTAGAAACTGCATCATGTGTAGTGTTGCAGCATAGACCAGACACCAGGTTCATTCTCAGGGTGCAGCTTCTTCCAGTCAAGCACTTGTGGCATAATGCAAGGAAAATAATTCTTTTGCCAGATTGTTACACAAGGAAAAAAAAAACCATAGGATGAAAATGTAGAAGTTGTCAAATTTTATTAATTTGCAACCTTATTGTAAGGGCCAGCTGTGAGGAAAAGTGAGTTGAGATGTGGGTAGCATGGGTTGCAAATGGTCTAAGTGGTACATACCTTCCTCTTATAAAACACTGTCTTATAGAGAACAAGTGTTCTTTGTCATGTCAGCTTTCATCTAAAAATGTCATTCATCAAGAACCCAGGGCCCATTGGTCTGATTCTCAGTCTGCTTTACTCAACTGACCCTCTTTGTCAGAGTCATTTGACATGACTCTTGTGAGGTTCACTTCACTCAGCTGAATCTTCTTTGTCAAAAAAAAAAAAAAAAAGACTGTCAAAATGATTTCTGTAACATCCTGCAGATGTCTGCTTAACAAGATTAGAAATGGGCAGTTTAACTGAAAAAACGACTTTTTTTGGTTTCATCTTCAAAATGTGAAACTGCATCAAAATTTTTTTACAAAACCGAAATCATTCGGTTTAAGTGCTATCACAACTGAGGGACCATATCCAAAGAAACACTATGGAAAAAACTTTCAGATATTAATAAAATTAAATTTATCAACATTTATAGCATACCATTGTAAGAGAAAAAGATTGAACAAAAATATGTTAAAAACATTTAATTGACTAGTTTTAGGAAATAAATGTGTAATGTATTTGTTTACAAAAGAAAAGAAGTAGAAAAAAAAAGAAATATGACATGATGTCTGAAATCTATTTGTTTCAGTTTAAAAAAAAATTTTTGTGGTAAAATTAAGTTAACAACATATAGCGGGTAAAAATAAAAAAATAGTTGCCAATTAATTGCTTTCTAGTAAGCTAGTGTACACCAATCACGAAATAAAGTTGTAAGGTAAACAAGAAAAATGAATGAAGATTTTTTTTATAAATAAATTTCTTTTTTATCTAGGGAATGCACCTAATTTAGAAATTAAGAATAATTAAAATAGTTCTCAATTTCACTTTTAAAATGTGTATATTTCCAAATATGTAAGTCTCTAGTGTAAAAAAAAATTGTTTGTTTTTGACAAATAAAATTATGTTTCTATCTAGCGAATACACCTAAAATTAGATATTAAAAAAAATAAGGTAAGTTTTAATGTCAGTTTTAAAATGTGTATATTTTCAAAACTGCAACTCATTTTTTAAACCCAAAGTAAAAATTATTCTTTTTTAGCTACTAGTCAGTGTCAGACAGTAGTTTCAATAATTTGAAAGTTCTTTTACCACACATTTATCAGTTGCTTTTTCCTTTTTTGCTTATGATTTTGGAAGGAATTCGCTTCCTCGGGTCAGAGAAGAAATGAACATCTTCCTGTTTGTAGTTTAAGGTGTCTTCTAATTGAGTGTACAATTTCAAGAATATTGATAAAGATTAGTTAATTTGATTTTGCGAAATAAAGTAATGTGTAAAATAGTCTCAAAAAAATATATATTTAGCATTTTTGGCTGTTTGAAGTAAAATACTGTTTTCTGTAAAAAAAAAATTCAATCACAAAGTACAAACAAATTACATATTTAGAAAGATTATTTTATTTTCTTTCCAGCTATATGAATATTTTTAAGATTGGACCAGAAATACACAAGATATTGTAACTTGAACGGACTAAATTGCAAATTTATCAATCTTAAATGAAATCAGATATCGACTGGAAATACTATCATTACACTTTAATGAATGACTTCCTTAGAAAGCAAAAATACTAAATTAAAAATCGAATCAAAAACCGCGGTATCAAGTGGAAAAAAATTGGAAACTGATACCGAAACACAAACTGCCAAACCGATCAACTCTAAACAAGATATCGACTGAAAACTGATATTATGACACACATCATCTTGTTCAGAAAGATAAACATTTCCTAACTTCAGATTGCAAAAGAAACTGTTAATTATTTTGGTTGATAACTGCTTAATTGAAAACAAAAACAAAGATTCAGTTATATCAATCCACTTTATTAAATATTTTTCTGATATATTATTTAATACTTTATTTGTATATACAGTCCTGAAAGGAAGATGCTGTGAACTGAAAGAATATCTTTTTTTTATCTTGGAAAGTTTTACATATTTGTACATTGCTCATGAAATAAACTCCTGTTGTTTAAATTCAGAAAGAATTTTCATTTGGTTTGGTTCAGATTGCAATTGGAAATTTTCTCATGGAGGTGAAAGACACAAGGCAACTTAAAAAGATTTTTTTTTTTAACAAAGAAATGAACCCAAATGTACTTCTGGCCAATTTGGAAAATTAAACAAGTCACACCACTCTGAAATAAGTGACAAAGAATAACATTATTGTGTCATATAACAATATAACAACACGGGCTTTTCTTGAAAAGAATACCATTTAAATTTAGTAAACATTTTTGCTGATATTAAAATGTTTACCTGATCTCATTATGAATATACATTTTTTTGTCTTTAAAACAAAAATGGATAATCAAGTTTACTAATGAGTTGAATATAAAAAAATATCTAATTTACATAAATGTTGAAAATTGTGTTTATTTTCCAAAAATGGCACATGGAAAAAGAAAAGTTAATTGACTAAATATTTCATTTTCATTTAATAAAGATGGCTTGTTTTGAAATGTTGCTAACCAATCCTTCTGTATTTTCTTACTGTATGATGAAAATTTGCTTTTTTTTAAATATTAGTCTTGTATGATGACTGGCATGAATTAAAGTAAGTTTAAAATAAAGTGCATATACAGAATATGAGCTCTAACAAAAAAAAAAAAACAAGCGCAATCATAATGAAAATTAATAACATATATTTTAAGAAATTTTGTAGGATTTCAACACAGAATATCTAAAAGAAATCCTACATAAAGCATTTCTTTACCTCCATAAGAAAATGGAAACAATGAAAAGAAAATGTTTTGGGTCTACAAAATTATTCAAAGTTTCCAGGATGTTCATTATTTCCTGTCAAAGACTAGAAGCAAAAGAAAACAGAAACAAAACAAGAGACAATGTATTGCAGACACAAAGCATTTCTGGCACAAGTCCATATGTGACGGATGCATCTAACATCTGCTTTTGAGAGGAATAACTGTTACCTTTATTTGTACCAGCTGATAGGAAGAATGATAATCGGCCTGTAAAACTAACAGATTTACAGGCGACGGTGAGTATAAGATCTGTTCTCCAGGCCAGTGCTTGTGACAACAGGTATCGTCTAGAAGACAGAGGGAAACAAACCATATATTAATAAATTTCATTTATTAACAGTATATTTTCAATGTAGAAATAAACTGTCAAATTGTCATTTTAGGCTTTTGGTTTTAATATTTAAAAAAAAAAAATTCTTAATAATAATAAAATAGTCTGAAACAATGTACTGAAAAATTCTTGTTATATCATGTCAGAGATGAAGTCTTTTCTATAATATAAAACACAATGCAACCTTAGATAGTTATCAGTTATGCAACCTGATCTCCTCTACCTAAAAATGAGATATGCCAATGCAAACCAATGTTTTCTCAATAAAATTGAAAATGTAACCAACTTACATCTTCATGATATATTTATATGAACAACATATCTGCATTTTAACTTACAGTATCTATTTTTATTAAAAACATTGATAACAACTTTAAAAAAAAAATCATTTCATCCCAAGTAAGGCAATAAAAAACACTCGGATGCAAGGAATTATTGAGAATGAAGAAACAGAGAGAACAATAAAAGAACAAGATTCAATGAGAATGATGACAATTATCATTTCAGTTAAGTTTTTGAATGGTCATAGTTGACAGGAAAGCAGGAAGCTGGAAAATAGTTTCACAAGCAAGAAGTATGAGAAAAGAAAACTATTAGAACAGAACTTATGGTTATTTTGGAAGTTGTTTTGAAGTGTACAATATTTTATTATGCAAACAAGTGAAACAGATTTTTTTTATTTATAAATAACTCCAAAAGACCACAGAAACAAATTTGATTCACAATATCTCATATACCTGAGTAAATTATTATTTTATTTCTGTCTGAATTTCTATGGTGAGGACTTATCATTATTTACATTATTGTCATCTTTGTTGTTATCAAAACATTTTGACCATTGTGCCCTCTGGCTTTTGTCAGGTGTATGTTGATCCAGGTAACTTACAGGTGATTGTGAACTGAATTTTTAATATTCTTTTATTATTTGATATGATAATAATGGCTCTTTAACATTCTGTAACCTTCATCAGTCTTTTAATCATTATTTTTTTTAAACCTTTCTACTGTTTTAACTTTACTTGCAGCATTTTTGATTACTTCCTATAGATATGATTTGCTTCATAAAGCTCTCTTTTGATGATGAATCATGTTTTCTATTGGATTCAAATCTGAGAAGCTGAGAAACCACTCTATTATTTATTTTTTTTTTGACAAGGTGAGTAATAATTAGGTTTAATAGAATGTAAAGGAATCTTGTGTTGAATGAATAAACACTTCAGCTTAAAGCTTCTTGATTATAACCTGTGTCACTGAAAAAATGTCTTGTTCAAAAACTCACAATAATTATCTGTATTTATCTTGATACCATCAATGTTAAGAGATCTATAATACCAATTCCTATTATCCTAGCCCAAAACATTATTCACTTCATTGTAGTTAAAATGGTGTTGGTTAACTATTTCTATGAAGAACCTAACCTCAATCACATCCATCAGGTCTATCCAATGTAGCTCTCCACTCACCACTAAAAATAATTTAGAAAATTAGGTTTGTTGTACTTCTTCACCCAACTTGCATAATTTTCTTTGTGATGTTTATTTAAAGGTAGTAGTTAGGTCAATTTCTTGTGTTTAGTTCATGGTTTTAATATTCTGTATCTTTTCTGTGTTTATGCTTGCAACATCAGATTCTTCAAATATTTTTTTGCTGTCAATCCACATTTCTGTCTTATTACCTTTTTAATTTTTCTAAAATCCCTTTTTGTGACATTCTTAAATCCAGTTTTGTTGTTCTTCATCTTATTTTTCCACTTTTACAATTTATTTTTATTTTTTTATTGTTCTGTTAATTTTATTCAACTTTTCATAATTTTCAATGTTGCATTCCAATCACTTAGTATCTTTACAATGTCTTTTCTCTCTTTTGAGGTTCTTTCTTCCAACCCGTACCAATCTTTAGATATCAAAAATTAAATAATAAATATCAATAATTATACTATTTTAAAAAAAAATGAAGAGCTTTTAAGTTGCTGTAAAAAGATGAATGGAAGCTCTCAAAAAGCCATGAAATTCACTTCACTCATTCACAGCCACCCAAGGGAGGTTTTACTACTGGTATTTACTTGTCCCCCACCCCAAAAAATGCCCAGTAGGGAAGTTTTACTAATTATTCTATGGCAGAAAAATTAGCTGTTCTTAAAGTAGTCTACTGGACTCATTGGTCAAGAGTGAAATGGACTTGCCTGTTCATTGACCTATGACAGCTTCATCCAGTAGAAAGGACTTTGTTTTAAAAACAAAAACAATAAGCAACATTAGAACATTTTGACCAGCAACATAAATTGCCATTTTCTCCTTTACAGTTGCATAGTAACATGTTCATTCATTAAGAGTGCCATATACGATACATGCTTGGGTGATCAGGTCTCTTTCGATCCATGACTGACTAGGCAGGTAATCCTCCCACAGTAGGTTGCCATTTCTTTCTGCTATAAACTGGTTGCCAACCAAGGCTATAGAACTCAATATCTTCTGGAGGAGAGAAGAGATGGATTCATACCCTTTCCCCCAAGGGTATTTGCATGTAAGTGAATGTAACAAACTCAGCTGGAATTTGAACTCAGCTCTACAATTTCTCATTCTGAGCCGATATCCATTACAACATATAGAATACATATATCCATATATATCCATTACAACATATAGAATACATATATCCATATATATCCATTACAACATATAGAATACATATATCCATATATATCCATTACAACATATAGAATACATATATCCATATATATCCATTACAACATATAGAATACATATATCCATATATATCCATTACAACATATAGAATACATATATCCATATATATCCATTATATAGAATACATATATCCATATATATCCATTACAACATATAGAATACATATATCCATATATCCATTACAACATATAGAATACATATATCCATATATATCCATTACAACATATAGAATACATATATCCATATATATCCATCAACATATAGAATACATATAGAATATATATCCATTACAACATATAGAATACATATATCCATATATATCCATTACAACATATAGAATACATATATCCATATATATCCATTACAACATATAGAATACATATATCCATATATATCCATTACAACATATAGAATACATATATCCATTACACATATAACATGTTACACTGCCAAATAAATTATTGTAAATATTTCTCACAAAAACATTATTAGCTGATATTCACATGATCTGTTTATCATATAAATATATCCTGAAAAGTTTACCAAAATCAGTTAGTTAACATCTATTTTTGTGAAACAAACTTGTATAATAAAATCTAACATTGTGTAATAGTTTGGGAGATATGAGTGATCTTTATGTATGTCTACTTGGAAATTTTATTGGATATCAACTATCAATGAAGTATTTTGTCCCATGAAAAAGTTCTCAACTAAACACAAAATGTTATTTTTCCAATTAAGTAAATTATTAAAATACTAATATATATAAAAAAAAAACCACAGACCTTAGTGAAAATGCCACGACCAAAGTAATCAGCAATCATTGAAAATCCATCCTGGGCACGATCCAACTGAAATAAAGAATCAAATCCAATCATTGAATACAAAAACAAAAAGAGAAGGAGAACAAGAAATTTCTGTTTGAAGAAAATATATTGTTGTATAGAATCCTTAATACTGACATTTTCTTATGCATTTTGAAAAATAACTTTGAATATTTAAAGTATAAAAAAACTAAATGCTCAATATAATATCATGCATACTTGAAGCCTTTTTCATCAATGACATATCAAGTGTTAATCACTTATTGTAAAAGGTGTTTCATATTGGCAGTAATCATCTCCAGTATAAGCTTGTTAGTTGATATTATATTTCCTTTGGTATATTACAAAAATGGTTTGCCACTGTTTACAGCAAGTGAAATATATCTATAGCTAAAGAGCCCCAAAAAGTTTTTGTTTTTCATTTGTGAAATTTTCTTCCCATTGGTGAGTTGACATTAGTAAACCTCATGTAGCTGTGGATGAAGTAGTATACCTTGTATTGTCTGGACAAAATGCTCTTTTATCACTGTGAGTCATTTCTCTGGGGACCCTTACAAGAGGAAATGCTCTTATCACTGAGTCATTCTCTGGGACTCTTACAAGAGGAAACTGTAGAAAATGTGAAGTGTTTACGTTTAACTTGATTCATTTACATCAATTCAAAAGTTAGCAATTCTAAAAAAATTATAAAGGTTAAAAAAAATAAAATCTTTCTCTTAAATACTGTGGAGAAAAATTTATGTAAATTTTTGAATTTAATAAAATTAATCAAAACTTGGAAATGAAAACAAAATTTTCAAAAATTCTTATTCAAGGTTTTAATTTTCAAAAGCAGAAAAGACTTTTATCAAATGACATTTTAGAAAAGCTAAAAGTAATTTGGTTAAATTACAGAAAAGAAAAATTGATACAATATAGACATAAAAGTTGCTGCAATTTTAGACAATGGTTGTAGAGAAATTTTAAAGAATAAATGAAGCAAGACTAAAAAGAATATTTATATTAAAATTTTAAAAAAATTTACCTCATTGTGGAAATGTTCATGAATATCCTTATTTTGTTCCTGGGCACGGATTACCTCCATTACTTTTCTGTTTGACAGGTTGGAAAGAAAAAAGAGCAGGTAATGAAAAGGAACCACAAAATCCACCAAAAAGTTTCTTAATAAGAAAAAGGAAATATAGTTTATTAGTGAAAGTATATTGTAGTATCTTAACTTTTAATCTCTGCATCTGTTAAAAGAGTGAGTTAAGAAGTAGAATGTCTGTCAATATAAGGTTCATTCATAAAAACTAAAATAAAGGATAATTATATAAAATGGTTTAAATAAAATTTATTTATCTAATTGCTGTTTTCACAATTATGCCCATTAAATAATAGAATTTGAAGAGACTATCATTTTTCAATTTGTAAAGCATCTTTTATGAGACTGTCAAATAATCTTACCCATTATTTTGCATACACACAAAACACTCATTTTCATTATATCCTTCCAAGCAACTGTAAAAAAAAAAAAATACAACTCAGCAATGACAGCAATATTTACATTTGTAGAAGGAAAAAATTGGTATTAATTTCACCCTTTTAGATGATATTATTATTAAGTAAAAACTATATTTATTTAGTACAAATCATCAAACATCAATATTTTTAAAAGAACATGATGATTTTTGCAGATATGGTTGCCTCCTTACACAACATTATTAGAAAATAAGAGATAACTATAGAAAATTTAAAGTCAAAATCTATAGGATGATTGAAAAGTAATTCCCTGTTTTATGTATGAGTGGCCAACCAAGAGTCATGTGACTTTTTATTCTTTGGAGTTGGTTAAAGGAACAAGTCTACTATACCAAACCAAGACTTTGGAAGAACTTGAAGGGCCAATACAAGAAGTTATGTCTTCCATACCACAAGAGTTTTTGGTGAAATCAGTTGATGCAATTCCTAGGCAGCTCGAGAAGCTGGCAGCAAAATTTTGTTCCCATATCGAATTTTAAATAAAACCTTATGCTAAATGCTTTCCTCGGATATCCATTTCTTGTAAAAATTATAGTTAATAAAGAGCCCCAAAAAGTTTTTGTTTTTCATTTGTGAAATTTTCTTCCCATTATAAGTATTTTAAAATGGGGAGTTACTTTTCAATCACCCCCCCATATAAATAAAAGTCTGTGATTTCTGTTAGTCCATCTGTCACACTCTGTAAAATAGTTGCATATTGATTTTTATTGAACTTTGGAGAAGATAATTCTAGTTCTCTAAAATTCAATAAAACATTAGATTATGGAGAATATTTTCTTAAATTTTTAAGACTAGAATTTTTTACAACATGTTGATGCGTGTTGAAATCCTCACAGTAGTATTATTGAAGTTATTGCTAATATATTTTGTTGAGATTTACAAACTCTACACTACATTCAATTTCACAAACGAATTGATGAAATTTGAATAAGCTGATTTATTTGGAAAAATACTTTGATAAAATTCCTACTTTGTGGTTTAATAATTTCTTTAATTTTATAGGACTTCATGGTAAACAATATTTTTGAAGAAAATTTCTTTTTCTTTTTTCCTTTTTAACAGCAAAGAATAAATTCTTAGAATTTCTTACTCTTGAGCATGTAGCATACAACTGGCCATGTGTAAATATTTCTTTCTGGAACCAAATTCCAATTTTTTGAAACGTTTGGCCTTGTGATTTGTTCATAGTTCTTGCAAACGTGCATATAAAAACTTAAAGAAGAGATATGCAAAAAACAATATTGCATTTTTATTAAATAAGTATTTGTTATTTTAATCATTAAATTGTTTTTACAATAGTGGCACTATTTTGTATGTTAAATAATAAACCTTTAAATTTTTCAAAAAATAAATGAATAAAAATTTATTGTACTAAGTTATGCACCCTAGTAAAACCAACTGTACTTTGTATCCACTTACCTGTTTGCACTTCTCCAAATTTGATTTTGATTGGTCAATGTATGGCTATTCTAGAAAGTGTGATGGATGGACAGATGGATGGATGGATGAACAGTAGTCACAGAAATTTATATATAGATAGATTACTGAGGACTTAAAAGGCAGTCACATTATATTCTTCAATTGTTTTTTTTAGGTTAAAGCCCCCATAGAAAAACATTAGATAAAAAGGGAGCTGTTACAAAGCTGTTAACATAAATAAACATCTATTGCTGTGTTAAAAAATGCATTTTTTTGATATTGTCCTTAATACGTTATTCATAAAAGCAATTAAAAGCTTTTCTAATTAAATAATGTCTTAGTTTTATTGTGTTTATTTTATGATTCAGAGAAAATTTTTGGTAAGATAGATTCTGATTTTACAAAAAAAAATGAAAAAATTGATGATTTAAATTCTCCAGAATCTGTGTTTAACTAATATAGTCACTAAAAATTATCTCATTGAATTTCTTGAGTTTTCATAAAATTAAGTGGGGTGAAACACATGTAAAAAAAAAAAAAAAAAAAAAAAATTTTAACAAGATTTTCTATAAGACATTTCTAAAATAATTTCATTCATTTGTGAATAAGCCCTGAAATTTTAATTAAAATTTGATAATTATTTGATTTTTACAAGAATTTCTACTTTAATGTCTTTCATTACAAAAAAGATGCTAAAATTTGCTATGCTAATTTATAGTACATCTGCTGACACAAGAAAAACAAGATTTTTAATCAAAATTTCTAATGTTCTAAAATGGATTAAAAAATTTAATTAAATATTAAAAAATACTTTGATTTTCATAAAACTTTGGAGCATTTTTTCATCACAGTATGCTCATTTTTTAGGAATTTTGTGGAGATGTTTAACTGAGAGTTAATACATTTTTGCTATTGAATTCTTTAAAATGGTAAAAAAAATTTTATAATGTATAATTTATGGTCAATATCCTCTTCTGGATATTGCAGAAATAAAAAAAGGCTGCATAATTTACCTAATAATATGAAATATTTTTGTTACTTACAAATTAAAAGACAAGTATGATATTTAAAAATCTGTCAAGAGTTTTACTTAAGATAAAAAACAGAAACAATGTAATGATATTGGCTGTGATGGACTACAGTAACTGAAATAATATTCCGAATAAGGTGAAAGGTAATAAATTGTAGCAAACTCATATTGGCATTGGGGGGATGTAGACATATAACAGAAAATGAGGCTATTTTTTATAACAAGAGAAATAGATCTGATCTTATACGGGGGTAGAAAGAAGCACTCAAGGTAAAAGACAATGAACACAAACAACAGAAAATCATGTTAGAGGTTTGAGAGAAGATTGTTAAATAAACTGAAATTTAAAAAGGAAGGAAGACATGGTTTTGGGTCAACTACATAATTGAAAAAAATACAAGTTTAGTACAGAAAACTTATAAACTGCCTTTGTTGGTAAAAAGGCTGATTTAGAGAAACAATTGTATTTTGTAGTTACTGATAGCCATGCATTAATACCAATTTATTTTCTGTCTTGTTCCTTTTAAAAAAGAAAATAGAATATGAGAATGTAATTTATCTTGTGACAATAATATCATAGCACTATAATGCTTTTGATGAAAAAAGGCAAAATATATGCATGTATAAAACTGAACTTTTCTGTTTTTCCTTTAATAGAATGCATAGATGTTTAACCTTAAATACTCTTTAGGAAACTTCATTCACCAAGGAAAGCATTTGTTCTCCATTGCAGTTGACATCAATCACCAAATAAGAGTATATTTAAATTTCAGGGTTGTGTTGTCACATCCTACTACAGCAACAACAAAAAACAATCTTGACTTAAAATTGAGATCAAGGTTACAAGCAGTTTGCCTTTGAAGAGCCACCATATATAGTAGAAGAAAATATACCTATGAATAATGTAAAGTGCTAAAGGTTAAAATACTAATAGTTCTGTGGCTTGTCTTCATGACAGATGTATTGAAAATGAAGTGTGACATTGTTTGAGAAAGAATATTCAAAGACAATAAAACAAGGAAGTTTGAACAGGTTTCAATTTAACATCTCATCTAATTGACATGATTTAAACATTTTATGAACTGATTTTAAATTAAAATTTTAAACTGAAGAGAGAATTCAGGTTGTATAAGCATTTAACAAATTTAGAAAATGCTAAATATGTCTGTAGGAAAGCTCGATTTTATATAGGTTTGTTTTTTACCAAATCATCAGAAATTATATCTTTTATTCAGATTTAGCAATCTAAGTGAAACCAACTGAAGTCAGAATTTATATATAGTTTACCATAATTTATCTAATTGAGTGAGCAATTAAAACAGTGAAATACTATTTTTTATTTCTAAAAAGATAGCATAGTTTATTCGAACATCTATATTTTTTTTTTCAAATCAAGCTAAAATAGATCCGTACATCTGATCAGAGCATCTTTCTTATTAAAACAGTAAAAGAGGAAATCAATGTCCATCAAGATATTTTTAACAGCAACAAGAATAAATATAAAGAAATGTCCATCTTTAAGCTTTAAGAGTTTTTCACTTGAAAGGTATCTTAATAAAAAAGTTACTTACTGTTGATGATAAGAATGAGGTTCACAAAGGAAATGAACTGAAGGTATTTCTAAAGCATGGTTACAGATGCTGCATTTTGGGGCCTGGAAAATTTTAGCTCTGTAAAAAATGAATGAGCATTGCATAGAATTAATACAAGTGTCCTTCTGACAAGATTAAGAATTAACATTTTATGTCAAAGCTGACAATGGATTTGACTGTCATCTTGTTAACAACATTTGCGTAAAAAGGTGAATCAATTTTGAGAGCACAGACCAGTGATTCTCAACCAGGTTGTGGCAAACAAGTGTGTTGTGTGATTCTCTTAAGTGTGCAATGAAATATTGTCATGACTTTCATATATATATATATATATATGTGTGTGTGTGTGTGTGTGTGTAAGTAGTAATGGTACAGCATTAGTATTTGAATAAATGAATAAGTATTGAACTTTTTCAAACAATTCTTTCAACTATTCTTTGATTATTTTAAATACTTTGTTTTAATATTCATTCAATATTAAAAGTAAGTCTATATTTGTGTGTATTTTTTTAAAAATCTATGGTTTTATTTCATAACATTTAAATTTTAAAAAATTTTGCTAAGTGTACCATGATATTTTCATTTACTCCTAGGTGTGCTGTTGCTTAAAAAGGTTGAGAAATGCTGGCATAGACCATAGACAAGATAACTGGCTATGGGGCAGATTCTTATATTTCCTAAGGACATTAGTAGCAAAACAATATAAATAGTTTCAAATGTAATTACTCATTTTCTGAATTGATAACCATTACTATCTTTAAGTTAATAGCAGAAAAAACAATAAGAACCCAACTGTTTTTTGACAGACTGACATCAATATGGGTCATGTACAAAACAAATTTCTTTCATTATTTTTCTACAAGATATTATAAAATTTAATAAATTTTATTGTACACAAACTTCCACTGTACTTTTTTGTGTGAACTGATTTTTAATGTATCATTTCTTTTGTGCCTACAGAGTAAAAATAAGAACAAGACATGATTGTAAAGCATTAAACAAAAGGTTACATTGATTTGTACACTTACGAGGTTTTCAATTCTTCAATTTGCAATTTCTTTTTACATGTATCTTCACGATATTTCTGGATGAGACGCTCATCTTCTGTTATTTGATCATTTTCTTGTTGCAAACGCTTTACAATATAATCCTGTTGAGGTGAAAGATACAACTTAGAAAGCATAAACTGAACTAGAATACAATTCTTGTTAAAATTAATTAAAAGCTTAATAATCTGGTAAGACAACTAGAAATATCATTCATAAACCACTTAGTAAATAGATGTCTAAATAAGCCTGAAAGTTAGTGATAAAATAATAATAAAAGAACCAATTTACATTGGGAAAATACATAAGTTTCTTTTAAAACTATAATTTGGTTAAGTATTGTATGTTTCACTAATTAACATAATATGGTTTGGTTTTGGACAGCAGGCTGAGATATTGAGTTGGTCATTATCGGTTAACCTTTTTTTTGATTTTTGTGAGGTTATGATAGTGGACACCAGACTCTTGTCAACAGAGGTGAACATTTCTGAGAACAGGATTCAAACACTGACATGAGAACACCTTGGTCAAAGACTTTTCATGGTTGAAAATAAGGATGAATGACTAAAAAAGTTCAAATTGTGATTTTCTTGACACTTGTAAAAACACAATTTTAAATGATTTCCCTTTCTTGAAATGCTGTCTAATATTTTGTCCTAATGTTTTCAAACAGATTTTACTTTGCTTAATGGTCGATAGTTGTAACTAATAATTTTGAAAGTAAACCACGTAAATCTTTTGTTCCACTTTTTGTTCCTTTCAACGGTTGTGACTTGACATTTTTCAGTTTGATCAGCAAGCAAAATGCCTTGTTTCCTGAGACAAATGAGGAAAGTAGATTTTAATTTCAATTTTTTTGATATTTCCTGGAAAGATGTTTGCTTTTAATTAGCTGAACAAAAAGACAAAATTAAGTGAAAAGGTGACTTGATTTTAATAACAGAACACAGTCTCAACACTACTCAATAGTAGATTTTCTTATGAGAACTTTTCTACTATTCAATGAGAAATTGAGCTGTTTTACTTCTCATTAGTTTAAAACAAGGGAACTTTTGTTTAAAGCAATTAAATTATTGAAATAGGTTAATTTTAAAAGATTTACATTTTTTCTGCTATATATAACAGTAAAAAAAAAGGTATCTAAAATTAACCTATCTCAATAATTGCATAAAGATATGGATTCAATCTGTCAGCAGGGAGTTGTGCAAGTTGGTAATAGCTCTGTAATTGTGTTACCCAAATTCTTTCTAGCCATCTGAAGAGAGTGTCACTTTTGTTCATTGTGGTTGTTTTCTTTTGGATGTGTTGAGTCAAACATACACAAAGATATAATACTTCTCATTTAAGTGTAAGATGGTTGATTGAGAGATAATACTACTAGCAGAGTATATATATATATATGATCATAGCTTTGCTTTTGAAACTTACAAGCTTCTTACAAGATGAAATGTATTCAGTGACTCTGAATTGGGAATTATATCAGCAGGAAACAATGAAGATGTTCTCCACTCCAGTGACTTCAAATGGGCTCTGACTTATGCCCATAAAAGAACAACATGCATCAATATTTGAAGAATTAGCATTGTAACATTGATGGGTGAAATACATGCATGGGAAAGAAAGAAGTGGCATTTTAGTTGCCTTCTAGCCTTAATATATTGGCACTGGTGATCATTAATCACTTATGTAAAGTACACAGCTGGTTATTATCTTTTCCAAGAGACTCAGAACCAGATGATGATTTAAAAAAATTAGTTATTTCTTGAAATTAATCAGATACTCCCAGACGCTAGGAGGGAATCTCATGGCTTAAACTACCTATATTGTTAAATATTTAATTAGCAACATGATTATACTATCAATTATGCCAAATGTATATATTAACTAGACTGTAGGAAAAGTGAGAAAATATGGTGGGGAAAGAAAAAAATATGAAGGGGAGAATCAAAGATGGGACAATAATATTTATCTTTGAAATATAGTTTGTATGGCACCATTAATTCAGAGTATTTGTTTGTTTTTTTTACTCTTGCTTTCCAAAGCTCTTTTGAAAAATAAAACAACAATTACCTCTTCTTCCCCCAGCTATGGGTTAATTAGTAAGACTTATATCAGTAAATCATCAATATCTCAAAAAAAAAAAAAAAAAAAAAAATCCTTGCAATCTAAAAACATTTTCTGGCTTTATATAAACATGCAAAGAGTTGATAAGCCATAAAAAACAATCCAATCTGTTTATCTGCCTTTTGCTTACACTTATTTTCTTCTTGTTTTTTTTGTCCCCTTCAAAATGTCTCAGACATATTACATATGCACCCTTACAGAAACAAAAAAATACAATTTATTCCTAGTTGAACCCTTTTAGCTATGATAGCAAAAAGAAAGATACTTTAGTTATAAGCCATCATATGCTCTTCATATTGTGAATGAGGCTCATGTGGTCTGTGGTATTTATTCAGACAATGTTTTCTAACAGTCGACTTACCGATCACTGGTAGAGATTCGGATTAGTCAACCATTTTCTTAGAAAAAAGTTTCAATCAAAAAGTCAAATGTATTCAGAATAAAAAGAATAAAAAAAAATCTATTTTCAGAGAAACTGAAGAACTTACCTTCACAACTGAGAGTGTGGCAGCAGAGTTGTGAGCAAGAGATTGTATAACCAACAATGGGGAGAGTAGATTCTTCTTATCAATATGTGGACATGTTAAGGACAACACAAAAGTTTGTAATCAAAAAAACACTTTGTGTACAGAGAAAGTAAATAAAATGAAATCTAGTCAAAAATGAATTCTTTAGAGCTTTGAAGTAGGAATGTCTTAATGGATTCTTAAGTGAGGAACCATTACTGAGTATTCACTCATCAACAACACAATGTTGGTATTTTGAACAATAAAATCATTCGTAGTAAGGTATTTTGTAGGAATAAAAATTTTTTGAATAAATAAAAATGTTTTTCTATCAAATTTGTTTGCAAAGGATATGAGAAAGAACTTCCATTAAGTAAGTCTTACAATTATCTTCTTTCATTGCAAAATATGATAAAGCTTGTACCCACAAATTGGATTCTTGTGTCCTAAAATAAAAAGAAAATGAACAATATTGTAAAACAATTATAACGTTAATTCTACTCAAACTCTGAGGCAATAAAAATTAAATCAATTAAAGATCTGTCTATTTCTAAGATGAGGTATTGTAACTATTTACACTATTTACATTGTTCAGACTGTGGTCCTCATCTTTACTCCCATATTCACAACATTTCGCCCATTGTACACTCTGGCCTTCAGATGATACTTGTTTGAATTTCAAACTGATCTTAGGGGTAGATTGTTCTAATTCCACATTCTATGTCTTTGAATATCTCAGTTTTAGTTAATTCACCTTGATAATTCTCCAAGTTTTTGTTCTCTCTGCTGAGGCGAGGGATTAAATCACTTTTGGATCAATCAACCAATACTTTTATCTACTGGACCATGTGTCCTTGGGGACACTAGTGAGTAACTTTTTGGGACTTATAAACCTAATGTTTCAGTACCCCCCCCTCTCCAACCTGAAGAAGGTGAGAACATACAATGAAATGTTGTGAATGTGACAGTAAAGATGAGGACAACACTCTGAACAATATAAACAGTGTAAACACATAGAGATTGTTCTGTAATTTTTAATATTCTGTATCCAGAGAAAGAAAAAGATGAAATAAAACCAAGGTATTTATTAAAAATTAATGCACAAATCATTGAAAGGAGGAATATTGTTGAGCCATAACTTTAAAGATACAAACTGTCATAAAATCTTATTTGAGCTTCTTGGACTGGAAGGCTTTCAATGAAAGACACTTTTACATTCATCATATCATCATGAGACCTGTAATCCCTTAGGGTCATAGAAGCACCACATGTACTGCAGTTGCAGAAGCAGTGATGTTTCCTGGGCAAGACAGCCTTGTGGAGCCAAACAATCACTAGGCTGGTTTTGAATTCAGAGTATTTCCTTCTTCTAGAAATGTTGCCACCCAAGTCTATATGACCCAGTCTGTCCTGCTATTTATCCATCACTGGGGGATAAGAGATGGATTTATACCTTTTCCAAGGGGAATGAATGTAATCAACTCAATTGGAATTTGAAATCAAAATTTATCATAATTCATTTATAAATGTGTGTAAAAATATGAAAATAAAGTTTTTTTTCAATTTTAGCAACTTGCAAAGAAAGTGTTTGTTAAAGATAATATTTAACTAAATAGTAGAAAATACAAGTTTGAATTTACAGTAATAACTGCTAGGATAAGTAATAGTTCCATTAATGAATCACACAATAACATTGAATTAAAAAGGAATCTCCTACTTACCCAAAACGTTTGCAAGTGTCAATAACTTGTTTATATTTATCATGATCCATATAATAACGTAGAATCTGTTGATACCTTAAAAAAAAAAAAAAAAAAAAAAAAAAAAAAAAGGTACAAAAATGAATTATAATTAAAATAGCTATCAGTGATACCTACAACATGTTGCATTGTTTTGTAACTAATCTATGAGATTCTGACAGTGCTGTTAGAAGAGAAATATGAAAAACTTATAATAAAGTTGCAAGATGAAGTGTTATGTCCATGAATTTTGTGTGTCATGTTGTCGATAACAAAAAGAATATCAAACATTAGTGATGATATCTTTTGTATAAATTTAAAGTAAAAAATAAATAAAATGAAAAGATTTCACAAAAGCAAATCTAATATGAAGCTAAGAAATTTTGAAGGAATGCAATCTTCTGTAAAAGTCATTGCCAACTTTTTTATGTCAGATTAAGACAGATATATAAAATTAAGTGAACGTTGTCCTAATTCAAACTTTTGTGCTGAAGGTAAACATGTAAGCAATATACAAATACACTAAGCCAACATGTTTGCTGCTGAAATATTCAGGTAAAATTCGCTTTGGAAAACTAATTTAGGTTTTCATATTTTGAATTTTTTAACATTTTTAATTATTCCTATAAGTCAGTTATATATATTTTTTCTTTCTTATCATATTGATGGATTAAACTAGGGATCCCAAACTAAAATTCTGTTTTCAATACAAGTAAAAACTTAATACAGACCTAGAGTACTTGACAAAAAAAAAAGGTACCAAATTATCATGGTAGCTCAATTAGCAATCAACTTATGACCATTCAAAGTTCATCAGAACATAGAAAATTTTCCATCTCATGTTCTATTGAACATTTTATAATTGTAGATGCAGTCTTCAAACAATATAGATATAATGTCATATAAGTAGTCTTGAAGTAAAAGTAAGATAATACTAATTGAATCAATAATTATGAGAGTTGACATTTGGGAAAATTGTGTTCTCAAAAGTGAAATAGTTGAAAAAAAAAAAAAAAATACTGAAGGGCAATTCTGACTGTACATAGAAATTTCATTTTAAGGGTTAATGCCTTGCAACTTCTTATGATTCATAGCACAACAGAGATGAAGCTAATTCTTATTTTAGTAGTACATCAATAAAAAACTTGTATTTACATCATGTAAAATCAGCCAGAAATACAATTTGACAGTAGGTCAATAAAAGGTCAAAAGTATACTATCCTGAACTTGCTAAAAAAGTATCCAACAGAAATACCTTTTGTGATGTATTTAAATTTGGAACATTTTGTTAAATTATGCAATTTTTGACTTATCAAAAAAGGATGGTAATGACTAACAAAGTTAGAAATTTTTTCAGGAAATGAATCCTTCAAACAAATGCTTATTATAAACTTTTAAACTCATTTATCTTCAAACTGAAATGAATAAAAATACATTTATTGGAACCGAGGACAAAGAATTTCTGAACAGTTGAAATGGTCTTCTTGCATTTTCTCTTCTAATGGTGATTTGCAATCTGAATTTGTTTATAAAGCACTATTCCTAGAACATTCCATCTCCTGTAAATCTCTTGAAAGTGGCATGATATCAAAGTCCCATCTAAAGACAAATGTTGACGCCACTTGCGCAATATCATCCAACAGAGACAATAAAAAAATTATTCCTGCTTATGGTTAGAACTAAAATTTTGATTACAGCACTAAACAAAGATGTAATATCATTAAATTGGTCAATGTAAAAGTATACTGCAACCTATTGGCCTTGTCATTTGTAAATGAAGTTCATTTGAAGTGGTTCTACTTTATCACAAATGTAGAATTGTTTGAAGATTGAGTGCCTTTCCTTCCTTCCTTTCAAGGTGGACATGAAGTTTCATTAAAAGTTCTATTATGTAATGTCTATTCCAGTCATCACAGTTCAAAGAATTTGGTGTCTTCTTTGGCCTGCACACCTTGTTAGGTCTTTGGTGTGGAAAGCACTAATACATAAAAAAAAAAAAAAAAAAATGAACAGATTTCTGCTAAAAAAAAAAAAAAAAAAAAAAAGATGTTTATTATCTTCTATAATGATTTAAGGAAAAAAATATGAAAAGACACTGCATATTTGCAAAAGTTGAACAACTACAAAATGTATCCTTTTTTTTAGAAAATGTAACAATTTCATTTTAACCTCTGATAAAATCCCTAGAATTAGTGAACAAATAATCATTAAGAAAAATAAAAAAAAAAATAAAATAAAGGAAAATGATTACATTTATTTTTTTATGGATCCATGCACCAAAATTAAGTTTAAACATATATTCAGTTCATTTTCTATTACATTTTTTTATAAAATGTATCCAGTTTCATTTTTTAAAAGAAAATATAAATAAATTTTCAGTTTAATCCTAAATACTTGGAATTAGAGAAAATATTGCCAGCCATAAATGTAAATGAAATGAATGGCCATTAAAAGGAAAACTGAACACTTTTTTTTATAAATTATATTTTAATTATTTTACTGACAAATGTGAGAGGTCAAAATTTAAAAAACAAAATGTATATCCAGATTATTTTATATGAATTCAGTTTAATGTTTTTTTTAAAGAAAATACATAAAATATATAAAAAAAGCCAAGACAAAAGTGATTTGAGTGGGACAGTTTGGACAAAATACAATAAGTACTTTATACAGTTTTAAAATGCATTGAATTAATGAAAAATAAAAGAAAAAGATTTAAACTGTGTAATATCAGTCGATGAAAAAAGTCTGATTTAAAATAGGATTCTGCAGGTGAAGTTGTCACTCTGTAAGCAATATGAATTGGAACCAAAAGGTTTTGCTCAAAATGAACACAGTATAGATTCTTTGTGATTCATGTTTCCACTTCAATTTGTATAGGCACAGAGATATGAAACTAAGTGATTAAGAACAACACATTGCTTTACAAGAAGGTGCAATTTTCATTTTTGTTTTTTAAGAGTTAAATTTCTCTGGTATTTCATCCACTAAAATTTTTGACTTAGAAATTTGTTGTGAAAAACAACTTAAAAGTCTATCATAATCCTACCAAATTGACTAGGATCCTTTTTTTTCCTTTAAGATGGGACCATGATATATTGATATGTGTAGGGAGACACAACTTAGAGTGCAACAAGTTTTTAAAACACCACTATGAAATTGTCAGAAAATGTTGAAACATATTCATTAATATCAGATCTAGAGAATAAATAAATCTTGATAATATACTTGTCACTGACGACTGTATAAGATTTAGAAAGACATAAAACAAGACATTTTTTTTTAGTCTCAAATAAAAGACAAGTCTTTATTGACAGGTAAATGGGTTTAGATACTTACAATTCAGCTTTTTCATACAAGTAGAGTATGCCAGCTGTAAAATTGTGCATTTGACATAACACCAGTGCTTGATCAATGTCATAGCCAGCCTGAATTAAAAAGGAATAATGAAATAAGAAAAAATACCAAAAACAAAATTTGCAAAGAAATAAAGAAAAGGTCATTTTTTAGAATTAAAAGCTTATTAAATATTTGAAGCAAAAGGAAATAAAACTGAAAAAAATCTTAAGTTCTTAAGAGTAAAAATAACTTAACTTGAAATCTTTTTTAAAAAGGGAGAAAAAACTCAAAACACTTACTTCTGAACCTTGTAATAATTCTAATGTTCGTCTCTCTTTTTCTGCTTTCAGCTGTTTTAAAAAGACAAAATGCAAACAACAGTTAACACCAGTTTTTATTTAATATACCACCATATTTAAAAAAGATTTAAATGCTTGATAAAGTTTGACAAAACCTATGAATATAAAAAAATGCAATAGTCATAAATTCCAAAAACACTGTTTTATAAAAAAACAGATCTTTTTCAAAAATTCAAATGCTAAATTGATGAAGCCAAGTTGTCTTGAAGAAATAAGAACATTGTACATAAGAAAAGATTTGTAACACGAACAGTTATTTTTAAAATATAGCAGATAGTAATTATATGGAAAAAAAGAAGAATTTTGAATTTCAAAATACTTATTAGTTCTGATAGTGCTGTCTGAGTTTAAAATGTGACAAATACTGCTAGAACTTCAGAAGACAACTTTGTGTTTACACTAACAATAATTCATTATTAATTTTTGAATAGTCAAGAGTTGTTGCTCTTATTCACTTTCAGATACCAATTTAATTTTTCTTCCCCTCCTCCAACATTCTACATGCATAAAAATTATCTTATTTAAGTGCTCAGAAAGATTTATGGTACACAAATAAATAATAACAAAGAAAAAACATCATCAAAGTTTGATAGAAGATTTATGGAGGTTGAATGGGAATTAAATATTAGGAAGAATAGAAAGAAAGAAAATTGTTATGGCATTCCTTTTACTGATTTTCAGTCAGAAGAGAGAGAGGGAGAAAGGGTTTAATAAAAAAATCAAGAGAAATAAGAGTGGTACAATTAGAAGTTAAGAATGGAATTAAAATTTTACAACTCTTCAAGAAAGTTTTTCTTTCTCCTTACACTATAGTAAATAAATTGTTTAATGCACAGGTGTCTGTCAATGCCCAAAATGAAGGCATGTCCCTCATACATTACATGCTAAAACTAACATCTGCATATATCACAATGATTACAGACTAAAAGAAATGTAAAAAATCATTTTTGAATAAGAATTTCATCAAATATTTTAAATTCATAATACTGTCCCACACTAAAAACACACCACTTTTTTTTTTTATCAATTTTCAGTTAAAACTTTGCTTCCCTTTTTGTGAGAAAAAATTTTTTTTTCATTGATTTATCATTCTAATTAGTTTGTTATTTTGACTTGTGCTTATCTTATTTCAAAAAGATCAAAATAGGTTAAATTAAAAGGAAAATCATAAGAATCTTTATATTTTGTGAAAAAGCATTTTCTATTATTATTAAAATTTTAGTATGTGTATGGGAGTGGGGTTGTTTAAGAGTTTTCCATCACTTGCAAAAATATGATCAAAAGAATAAACATCAGAATTTAATTTTCTTGGTCAGGCTGAAAACTTTTCCGTAGCTCCTTCTTTACATGTTAAAAAAAAGAAAAGAAAAGAAGCACATTTGCATGCTAAACCAATTTTTATTTTTCAAGAATAAATGACCATTAAATAGAATTTATAAGTGGTTGACCTAGATCCCAACCAACTTAGTGTCCTGCAATTTTTTTTTTAGAGTTTTAGTCTGAATTAGTTTTAAATAAATGATTTAATTTGAAGACTTATAATTTTTATTACTTTCATGCTTTTAAGTTTAAGATGATTTTACACTAAATCTGATTTAATTTGTGAATAAAAGATGATTAAATTTGGGAGGAAAATTTGAAAATTCAAGTCAATATAAGTCACTTAGTTATTTATCAATGACTTATAAAAGAATGCAGCATGTAAATTAATTCCCATGAAGATTCAAACCAACAGACTTGGCCAAATAAGGATCTTAATAAAAGATTAAAAAATATTATTATGTTTGCTTTTTATCACAAACACTGCATGACATTTGTTTTAATGATTTATGTTGAATTTAAATAGAAATCATAGTTCTTCCCACTATAGAAGATAACAACAGGTCATTGGAATTAAGTAACAAATTTTATTTGTTATTTATGCTGGATTAATAAATAAATGAGTAAACTGTTACAAAAGCAATTCCTAAAATAAAGTTTATCATGATACTCTGTGAATTACAAGTAAATTTTGAAGGTTTTCACTAATCAAAGAAAATCTTTTAAGCTAGCTTGAAAAAAAAAAAAAAAAAAAAAAAAATTTTCTCTCTTATTTACAAGTCCTAGAATTTTGATAAAACACTATATAGATAATAACATTGTTTAACTTCAATGTATTTAAAAATTTTATGCAATCCAACATGGCAGGTAGAAGATAGAGAACAAAGAGAAGACAGTTTACGGTGAATTATAAATTGTTGTAGGCTGAAAAAGAGTAAAACAAAGTAAAAAGAAAAATAATCCAGAATTAATTCAAATCTACTGAAAAATTATCTTGAATAATACTGAACAGAATATTTAGCTGATGTAGAAATAAAAAGGACAGCTTATATTGGTGGATTAAGCAAAAGAATAAACACATTGACAGCTTAATCCACTGTTTGTTATTTTTTTTTTTTGTTATTTTTTCTTCATTGTCATCATCCTTATTATTACTTGTGGATGTTATGCTTTCTGCTTTGTATCCTGTAGAGCCAGGCCCAAAGGAGATTTAACTGATAGCACTTTTCTTAGTATATCGTGTATTCCTAGTAGGGCAATCTTCTGGGGAACTTGTATGTTGATGATATCAGAGACACTGTTAGTAAAATTGTCCATTCATTTTCTAATGAGGTCCAGTGCTCCGATTACTATTTATTCCCCACATCCTGTTATGCCTGATCTCTAGGTCCTTGTATTTGGACAATTTCTCGATAATTTTCATGGCGTTGTTTCTCTGAGATGTTACAGCTATGTCAATAAGCATACACTTCCAGAATTTCTTGACTTTTATGATAATATCAGGTCTGTTGGCTTTTATTTCCCCTGTCAGTTTGAATTGGCATGTCCCAGAGGATAGTTACATTGTTATTTTGGGTAACTGTGTCTGGTTGGTTCTCATACCATCTCTCAGTGGTTTTGATTTTGTGCTTCTTGCATATCTTTCAGTGCACATATATCACTACTTTGTTTGTGGGTCTATTCATTTTTTGCTAGTTCCAGACATCCTGAGATAATATGTTTGACAGTTTCATTATATTTTCTGCATATCCTGCATTTCAGGTTAGTTCCATCCTTGATTATGTGACACTGATAGGATCTGGTTGTGAGGCTCTGGTCCCGAGCTACAATAATTAGGACTTCTGCTTTCAACCCAATTCTCTTCAGCCACTGATGTGTTTTCTATTGGTCTACATCTGCTTCTATTGTTCTTTTTACGTATTTGCCATGTAATACCTTGTCCTCCTAGTTTTATTTTGTAATTTCATTTGGCCAAATTGTTTTGCTTTCTGTTTTATTCATCTGGCATAGATGTTATTCACTTCATTTTTTGTTGGTAGGGTTTTAGGTATATTAAGCTGTTTCTTGAAGAGTGTTGATGGAGTAGATTTAGTGTTTTTCTATTTGTAGGAGAGAGTCATTGGTTTTTGTGAGGTATGCTTCCAATATGATTGTTGTAAGTTTGGGAGTTAGTTCAAGTTGGATTAGACCTCGACCTAAAACTCTTGGTATGTATAACCTATCAACATCTGATTTTGGGTGGTGCACCCTCATAAGGGTAAGCATTATTCTGGTCTTGGGGTCCAATCATTTAATGTCATTCAACTTCCATTTAATAATGTTGAAGCTGTATGTTACTCTGGGTAGAGCTAAGGTGTTGACAGCCTTCATTTTATTGGCCCCATTAAGTTCACTCTCTAGTATCAAACACACTCTTCTATAATATTCTTTTTGGATCTTGTTCTTCATAATTGAATGTTGTATTCCATTTCCTTCATTAATTCCTAAGTATTTGTATGTACCATCTTGGTCTTGTTCCTTAATCTTGTTGTTTATATCAAGGTCTAAATCTTAGTTTTCATTAGTTTACTACCTTTGAAGGTAGTTTTGGTACATTTGTCAATTCCTAATGTCTTCGCTGAAGGCTTTGACAATGGTAAGTTTTTCTGCTGGTTGTCATCCTTGGCAAGCATTTTAAGATCGTCAATATAGAATAGTTGATTCAGTTCACCATTCTGTGACTTGTATCCGTAGCTACCATTGTTCAGTAGGCAACTGAGTGGCGCTAATGTAAACAGAAGAATAATGATGACAAGATCCTGCTTTTGATGTTGATTGGTCTCGATGTTAATGACCCGTTTGTATATTTTAAGTTTAGTGTAGTCTTCCAGTTTTCATGCTCTCCATTATGAATTTTACTGTTGTGGGGCATACTTTGCATATTTTTAAGCTCATCACTATCCATGAGTGTGGTACACTGTCAAACGCATTTCTGTAGTCGATCCACGCTATTGATAAGTTTCTTTTCCTTGTTTTCACCTCTTCCAATATTGTTTTAATGATAATTAGTTGGTGCTTGCACCTGTAACTTCCTCTTTTACATTCCTTCTGTCCTGCTAGGAGTAAATTATTTTTCAAAAGGAAGTTGTATATCCTCTCAATTATGATAGAAGTGAGGATCTTGTACATTGTTCGTAGGCAGGTGATTGCCTGTAGTTTTTCAGGATAGGCATCTCTTCTGTTTTTGGGAGTAGGTATGTTACTCACCATGTGAGCCATTTGGGGAATTTTTCTGGGTTCATGATTATATTGTTGTATTCCTGTATGAGGCCTTGGTGGATGTTAAATAGGTTTTTTTTATATCCCAAAATTGGCTATTTGGTCTATTCCTAGTGCTTTCTAGTTTTTGGTTTTGATAGTAGCAGTTGTTTCAGTAATATTGATATCCATTTTTGGCACTCTATATGTGTGTGTTGTTCCTGTTGTTGCTTGATCCATGTAGCTCTTCCATTGTGCATTTTGCAGTTTTCCCACATCTTACACCAGATCTCCTCGACTTCCTGGATATTAGGTGGGTCATTTATCTCTGTTTTATTTTTTCACATTTCTCAATATAGTTTCTTGGCATGTTCTTTGAAGATCTTGTTTCGCCAGAAGAATTTGTATCGTTTATCATAATGCCCGATTCTTTG